GAACCCAACATTCATTCCTGCCTGTGGCAGGGGGTCAGGCTAGATGATCTGTTCAGGTCCTTCCCGACCCTAGCTACTATGAAACTATGACCTTTATGCCCCATCCCCAAAACTGTGTGACCTGCCATGCCAGAGTTGCCTATATATCTAAACCCAACATCTGAGGGGGTTACACAAAAGGAATGATGTTACTTGAAGCCTGTCTTCCTATGAAGCCAATATATTTATACATGTACAATGTCAGTTATTTAATGCATTTTAATTCCAGATTATTAAAATTATGTATTCAAATATTAGTCTATAACCAATTAAACAAAGTGTTAATGCTATTAAAATGTAATGAATAATTTACACTGGAAAATAGTTCAGTAGTTTGACTACAATTATTAACTGCAATATTCACCAAACTAAGAATGATTATTACTTTACATCTCTGTAGTTATTTAATTTCTGAAGAGAAGAATAATCTAAAAGAAAAATTGGTTGCTCAAGTAATCTTTAGAAAAATGAGACAGATGAAATTAGCACTGTGCAGGATAGCACATCACAAAAAAACATGCAATGTCAAAGCTCAAATGAACCATTAGATTTCAGTGCAAATCATCAATAAACACAAAGTCAGATGCATCAAAAAGGTTTTTAAAGAGATTGCAACCCTAAGTTTAGATCATAGCTACATCTGTGTATAACATGGACTAAATGTTTGATCCTTCTATGACAAAAAGTTTGAGCTACTTTGGATCTTGTAAAATCATTGTGGCTCCATGAGCTAATACAGTCAATGTTATACAATGTGTCAATTTATACTCAATTTACACGAAACACTAAGGCCAAAAAGACAACGCAACACATCTGACAGGACTGCAGAATCAGATATATAATGAGGAATGGTTTAACTATAATTTTACCCTTGTTGCCACATACCATATTTTCATAATCATGGGGAGTATTTTGATGTGACTACTGAAAGAAAGGTACTATTAGCAATAGCCAGATAGACAGAAAGAAAAGAATATCTATTCCCCTACACAAGGTTAACAAAAAATTGACAGTTTCACTTGGCTTTGATTCAGGATCATAGCCATACGGAAGACTATACAGAGGCCATCACAAATAAAACAAAAAAGTATTAATCCCATTAATTTACTGGTATAATTTTTTGAGCATCCATTATATAAAAATGATAAGTTAATTTAAGACTATTTTGAAACATACCTAGCAGCAATTTTATAGTTTTCCAGGTCCTTTTTCAAACACTTGTTCTCAGTTTCCAAATGCTGGTTGTGGGTGTATATGTCTGGAACAAATCCAATATCTTTGGGTTCCAAAACACCTTTCTGCATTAGTTCATACCTAGCAAAATACAAATGAAAATGTTTTAATTTATATTCCTTTATAGCAATTCATCAGTGTTTCCCTTACCACATTAGCATGTACATTAACTATGAACATAAAAGGCATACCAACTTCATTAAAAAATATCCTTTTCTTATGTTAATTTACTCATGGTTATGGTTTTACACCACATTACTATTTCAGTCCCTTTGATTTTAAAACCATTTCATAACAAATAAAAGGCATATCTTATGGACTGAATACTACTTTAGCATTAATTGTTTGTTTTTTCTTCCTTTTTTTCAATGTATGCTATGAAAAGAAAAACTAGAAGATAAAAATATTCACTTCAGAATACTTTACATTTCACCTTTATAATGTGTGTGTGCAGGTGCACGTGTGTGCGTGTGGTACTTTTAAATCACATATTCTCTGGCTAATGCAAATTTTGTTTTGTTTTTCAGATTAGTAGAACAAGCCTTTAAAACAATAAAATTAGGGAACATCTTGCTGAATGACTCTAGTCTCATATGGTCACGAATGTAGAATTCATACATCATCTGGAGAAATATCATTGTGGCAAAGTGGGGATCCCCACTAGCCACAGCTAGCCCCTCATCTACCTCTGGGAATGCCGCCCACCTGTCTCACCTGCCACACCTCATTGGAATAATGAAAATTTATTAAATAAGGTGGGAGGCTGCCAATTGGTGTACCCCCAAAGTTTGGGGGGTGTCTGTGGCTCCGTACCTTCCCTACACTGAGGCCCAAGCCTCACAGATGGTATCCAGATGTTATTAGTCACACCAACCCTACACTAGGCTCCAGAATCCTCCTAGCAGGACCCTCCTTTGATCCCTCCACTCAGGCGGCCTACGCCGCCTTCATTCAGGCTGTCGAGTTCCCTGTAGCTGGCTCCCCTCTCGGACGTGGTCCCCCCTTGGCACCTTCACCCACACACAGGCTCTGGCCTCACCTCCAAGGCCAGGCAGAGCCCCAGTCCAGGCCCACAACTCTGGGTGACCCTCGCAGTGGGCACCTGGCCTTTTTGACCTTCTTGGTCCTGGCCCCAGCATTGACCAGTTGAGGGGGCATTCTACCTCTGGCCTCACTAGCCCCACACTCTCTCTGGGTCCCCTTTCCTGGATGTGGGGGGATGGGGTGACTCACACCATGACTGGTGCTTCAGGGTCTCACAGGGGACTCTTACTCTCCCCCCGAAGCAGCAGGTCATGGTGCTACCCTGAGATCTTACACAATGCCCCCTCTGCTCGGGGCTCCACAGCGCCCCCTCTGCTTGGGGTCTTGGGGCTTTCTTTTCAAGTGGGCTCAGGTGGCCGTAGTGGTGCCTGGCCCCCTCTACCTCTGATGTCCTGGCCCACCTGAAGGCAGGAGCTGGGGTTAAGGCACCCCAACCTGTCTTTCTCCAGGGTGGTAACTGGCCTGGCATTTCCTGGGGGCTTCCACGCCACTGAGAGCCCCACCAGGCCACCCACTCTTGGCAGGGTGCAATTTTAGGTCATACCCAGGACCAGAAGCTTCCTGACCATCCTCTATAGCTCCTGCCCTTACCTCCAGTTGCTACCCACAGCCTTGCAGCCAGGTGATGTTGTTACCTGGCCTTCCAGCATCAAAATGCCCTGTTTATATGGGCAGCCCTGGATCCAAAATGGCTGCCCTAATCTGGCACCTGCTGGCTCCTGGCTTCAGGCCCTTAAAGTGGCAGGCACAAACAGTGCCCTGCCACAATTATCTTTGAACATTTGCTTTTCTTTCCTTTTATTAATGGAAGTCTTCCATATTAAATGTCTTATTTTCTGTGATTGCACCAATTCCTCACTACACACCCTCCTTCTATAATGTAACAGGTCTACATTAACTCAGGGCTGTCCAACTCAGGTGAGGCCAGGGACCACATGTGAAGCCACAGACTGCATGGGCCACACACAGCAGATGTGGTCTCCCCAGGATCTTTCCCCACTGTGTGGGCTGTGCTGGCAGCCCATGACTCCCTATCTTACGGGCAGCACCAGCAGTATGCAGACTTCTCTACCCCAGATAGTGCCATCAGTGGAGCAGGAAATACGCTGCACAAGAACTGCAGCTAAAAGAACTTCATCCCCAACACCAGCTTCCATCATTCAGGATGGCAGCTGCCCTTCAAGGCCTGGACTGCTCTTAACCATCTCAGAACAAGTGTTGGACAGTTTGAAGCAAGCGTACACACTTGGGGCTCTCCAATGATACTGGCTGCAGCTGTGGTGCTCAAGCTCAGATGGCCAACCACATCATCTATGAATGCCCTTACAGCCCGCCTTTGGGCACCCAAGGCCTTATTAACATGACCATTCTACCTGTTGCTGGCTTTCTGGCCCTCATGCTTCCAACATATGAGTGTGGCAACACTTGCTTCATCAACAGCAGCAGCGCCAGCAGCATATGGGCTGCAATCAGTGAGGCATGCTCCACCCCCAAGTCCTCCCCCAGCCTGCAGCAGTGGAAAAGACAGCTGAGGGAGCCCACAGGCTGCAAGTTGGACAACTCTACATTAAAATATTAATACATTAAATATGCCTACTGAATTACTGAACCGATACCTGAGCCCTGATCCGGATCTTTGCACCCTACTCATGCAGTGTAACTGCAAGGCCAATCTATACATATGTAGTCCCTGAGGGTACAATCTATAGGCATTTATACACATGCACTGGGAGTCAGGAGGGAGGGGCATGCTTTAATTAGAGCGCCTCCAAGAACCAAGCTAATTAAAGTGCCTGGAGCATCATATGTATCCATGTCCCCGCAGTAAAAAAGGCAACAGGGTGCTTTAACTAAAGCTCATCAAATGAGCTTTAGTTAAAGTGTCCATGCCACCATTTTTCAGCACTGAGAGACTGATACACATGACACTGGAGTTAGCTGAAGCTCGGTAATTAACATGCTCCCGCAGACTCAGTTAATCAAATCAGCTGCAGTGTGCTCTAATTGTACTTACTGACTCCACTCAGTCATGTCTCATCTCCTCTTAGAGCAACTGAATTCACCCTCTGGAGACAATGTAAGCGGGGCTACAGAATAATAGAAAAGACTAGCACATTTCACTGAAAGATTTAGAGAGAAAGAGTTGGTAATGGTATTACCAAAAATTTCTGCCATAGTTTCATTTCTACAAGAAATACATAAATGAAATGCTAGGGTTTACTAAAACATTTAAAAATAAGCCAGATTAACAGAGGAGAATCTAGAGAGACTGATCTTAAGCACAGAGAGGTACAATTAGAGTTTGGCTTGGTTTTGGGGATGTGGTTTTGGTTTGGGGGTGCAGGGCTTGGCTCCAACCAGGTAAATCAGCTCAACTCAGAGACAGAAGGGCAGACCTTCAGCTGACTTAGTCATTGCTACATTTAAGTTAATGGAGTTGCCCTACATACAACTATGGCAATTTATACCGACTCAGGATCCGTTCAGTGGAAATGTGAATAATTTACTCCAACTGAATATCTGCTTCAGAATGTTTGTCACCACCAAAACTGACTGCCGCAGAAACATGTGTTGATTTGGAAGATAACAGAAGAAATCAAGTCACCTTTTTTTGCCTTGCCAGAGGGCAAAGTAGTGAAAACATGCAAACTCTGTTTTTGTCATTATCATCTATGACAACAACATAGGTAATTGGAAACAGAAAATATACCAAACAACACTAGTTTTTGGACTGAATCCCAACAGCAGGTTTTAAAGAATATCTGCAACACAGCTAGGACTTTCAGATCAATGCAACACATTTCAGAAACTAAAAAGTTCCACAGCATATTCTCCCTATGGTGTTCAATGCAGATAGACCAGATATTTCTGCAGTTGCAGGGAATAGAAAGATACCTTTTTTTCTTATGGAAAGTTTTAAAAAAAAAGGTTTATACTAGTAGTTATTATTTTGAGGCATATATGCTCTTCCAAGGACACTTTTTTATCTGTGCTCTCCATAAATGTATGCAGGGACTATCCCTTTTTTTAGCCAATCACCAGGCTGTTACTCCTACCAGGCACCAGAAAAATATTAAACACTATTAATCCAAAGTTACCTCTAGTGTGATATTTCGTTTTCTTAAGCCATTTAAACTTTTATTTTAAGTACAGACAGTTCCAAAAGCCAAAGGCTGAATCAAATCAATCTTTGCAAGTTAGTCTAAGCCAGAGGTGGGCAATTATTTTGGCTGGAGTGCTGCTTAATGAGTTTTGGTGAGCTGTTGAGGGTGGCAAGGGTAGCCTCACCCTTTGACAGGTGCCCCGCCCCCTGGTTGCCATCTTAGGATCAGAAGTCCAGCTCCTAACCCCTGACCTTTGCTGCTGGAAGTCTCTCCCCTTGCCCTTGGAAGTACTCATTTTGGGAGGAGGGTTTGCCATCTTGGAATCAGAAACCCCCCCCCCAAATTATATACTAAAAATCAAATATCTGCTATAATATTTGAATTATATTTAAAAATAAATTTTGTCCTGATTTTTGTGTTTACATAGTGTATATAGAAGTGCTTGCATGATAGCTCAAAATGAAGTCTTACTCTTGTACATAGTAGGAGATGGGAGGGAAGAGCTGTGAGGGGGCATGGGAAGTTAGGTATGGGGGTTATGGGGGCCTGTGTATTGTGGGGAGGGTGTATGTGTGTGCAGCTGTCTATGTGGGGTTTGTGGGGTGTGGGGGAGGGTGTAGGTGTGCGTGTGTGGATCTGTTGGGTTTGGAGGGTATGTAGGGAGGAGTGGTTGTGGGGTTTGTGGGGAAGTGTGAAGATGTGTGTGTGGGTATGAGGTTTCTGGGGGACTGTGAGTTTGTAGAGGGGTGTGGATGGGGGGGTATGTAGGGGGTATGTAGGGCCCCCCCTACAAACATGCGTCTCTCACACACACCATCCCATTGTGCACAGTCCCTGCCACCAGTGGCAGCAGCAAGCAGTAGGCACTTGGGCCATTCATGGCCCACTGCAGGCAGAGCACCCCCCCCGCAGCAACACATGGTCCCAGCAAGC